CATTGAAAAACCTACGCCTTTAGCTTCGTACGAGACGAAACTACGCTTAGTATATAACGATGACAGTTTGAGATTGTAAAACGGATTCTAATGGCCTTTAGTTTAGTTTAATCTAAATCAAAGCCATGAAACTCGGAGTTCCAATATCACCATGGTTCATTTATTAAGATGGTGAGTTTTTCATAGTGCCTTCATGGCGGTGCTTAGTTAAATGATTTTATTTATAGGCATATCAACACCTCTATGGGTTATTTAATGCCGAAATCTAATTATTTTGAACACAATTTTATAGGTTCAATTAAATATATTTTGAAGGCAATTGTATGACTTCAACTGGAGATAAAATTGTTGGTCATTTTGCTATAAAATTTATTTTTGGTAAATCTGCTTTAAAAATTTATTGTTGGTAATTTTAGTGTAAATATGTATCGTTGGTAATTTTTTATATACAAATATATTACTGGTATGTTTACTATAAAATATATATTTTTATTCCTGTTTGGGGTTTCACTTTTTGCCTATAGCTGGGGCCCTAACAGGTGCTACCACCCAGGCTCAGGATGGAACTGGGAGCAACAACAATTAAGCGGTTGTTCCACACTTCCCAAAACCTCCCAATCACAGACCTTGCTGCTGGATGTTGTTTATTGTTATACACAAGATTCGCATATCGAGATGATCCTAGTTTGCGGCACTTATGAATTACAAGCAGTTTCATTTGTTTTTTTAAATAAAATGGACCCTATTTTATCATATTTGAACTTTGGAAACTTGCAAATCCATTTTCAATATTAGCTTCCTAATTTGATTAGTTAAAATAAAGTTCGTTTTGTTTCTTTTTTTTTTTTCTCTATTTATTCTATAAAAACTAGAAAGAAACGTCAATACAATAAATAACAAGAAAATTAGGACCAATTATTTATATCTATGGGATTTTAAAAAGATTTTATGAAAAGCCGATGATACTAATGCATCAGAATACTAACGGAAAGTTAAAGATAAAAACATCAGTTGGGGTCTTAAAAAGTTAGGTCGTTACCCAGAAACAAACAGGTTATTTGTCGAGGTGCATTGGTTAGAAAGAGGAATTAGTACGCTCTTCACCGTTATGGCCTTGTGCCAGATTAAACAAAGCCTATTAAATCTTTAGACGTGAAGACTTACATACGGGCTTACTTCTACCCAGACGAACGGGTGGTCCGTACCATATGCAAACTTCTCAATTGCTCGATCTTCCATAATCAAATGAACAAGCGGGATATTTGGATCAACGAACTGTCTTCTTTTCTAAACACAAACGACATGACTAAATATGCTTTGCCATTTTTTTTCTCCATCTTCCAAGTAATTTATTTGAATCGCCATATTTGTTGACTTTGCCGACCGGCTCGGAAAGAAAATCAATTATTTTTCAATGCTCTTTACTGAATTCAGTCGCAATGGTTGTGCTTTTGTTTGCATGGCGATGTGGTTTGTGTGTAATATGCGCGTATGTTGGCATATTTTGTTAGAATTTGTCTCTTTGGGATTCTGAAAGAAAGAGAAAAAAGACAGAGAGAAAGAGAGCAATTAAGAGAGAGAGAGGGTGGGGAAAGCTCGCATGTATCCATTTATATGTTTACACACGAACAGTTATGTAAATATGGGTGCATTAATAACATTGTAAACACAGACACACACACACACACATATATATATATATATATATATATATATATATATATATATATATATATAAATGTTCGAGAGACCTATCTTCCAACTTAAAATTTCGAACATCCACCGCTAGTCAAGGTAAGATAAATCTATTGAATTCATTAACAGAAAGCTTATTTATATGAGAGATTATCTGTTGTTATTCAATTGTTTAATATTGTTTACAAAGTCTCTTCGCCTTTAAACACAATAACCTCCAGTAATTTACTGGCCAATATATATATATAATAGGTTAGTTAATAAAGCAAGAACAAGCGAAAGGGTACCAATATAATCAGTACGATAAACATTTATTAAATATTAATTATTAACATTATAACAGAAATGAAGAACGGAAAGAAGGGTTTTCAGTCCGACAGATGCTTTTGTAGACGGTGTATTTTCTGTTGGAAATCATATTGTTATCTCTATCTGATTCCTAGCTGTGCGACACTTTATTTATATATATATATATATATATATATATATATATATATATATATATATATATAGTTTTCTGTATTACGCAGGCGAGTAAACGAAATACTGTTAAAAATAAACAAAGCGGCTTCTCAAATACTTGTATACAATATTTTAATAAGTGCTTTCCTTCCCTTAGCCACATCTTGCTCCTTGGCTCCTTTAAGAAGCTATAAAATGCCATCTGCCCTTTGATAAACCTATCCAGGCTGGTTTGAATTCAGACTTTTCCTTCTCCTAGAATGGTTTGTGACGTCACCCCGGCGGCCTCTCTGCGCCCGTGCTATCCTGTGACGACCAATGTGACTTGGTATTGGTCGCGGCGCCAAATGTGACGTTCTAACCCTTGGCCGATTCGGATGGGAATCTGGTTAGATTCGGTATCAGCTTTGTCGTTCCAAGCTCGCCTCCAACGTCTGGTTACCGAAGTAACTGCTTTGATTTCTAGTCTAACCTACCCAGGTTGTGATTTGATCTTAGGTAGACGAAATCAATCAGTCGCCAGGCCGCAATGCAAATCGAGTCCGAACAAGGGTAATACAGCACAAGTATATGTAAAAGAAAATAAAGTAACAACTCGAAAAGTTCAAATGTGTTAAAAAAAGAATAACAAATATTTTTTATATCTGGTTTCTGAATACATGACTGCGTCTTTCTCCCAACCCGCTTCTATGGATTTGTGACACTTGTGGATCTTCAGTCAGCTTCCTGCGAGGCTGGTCTCAGAGCTCACAGCTCAACTCTGTCTGCGTCTGTGTCTCTCCAACTCCAACTCCAACTGCTTTTCTACTCGCTGCGACTCTGCTTATATGGACGCCGACCAAAACTGGGTGTAGGTTTGTCGTGGTTTGGGGTTCCTCGATAATTCTAAATCCACAATAAGGATTTTCTTTGTTTTCAGACAAGAAAATTTATCACTTTCCATTTTTGGTAGTCCATTGCGTTTTTGCTTCAGAGGGGTTCTTAAGGGTATCGTCCTCCCAAATTCTTCCTTTCTCATATTGGTATCTCACACCAATCCCCTCAGAGGCGTCAACAGGCCTCCCTTCTCTCTCACAGTGGTATCTCACACCAATCCCCTCAGAGGCGCCAACAGGCCTCCTTTCTCTCTCATATATGTTTACCATTATCGCTCAAAGGAAAAAAAATTATCTTCTTTTTTTTTCTTTTCTTTCTCTTTCTGACACCAAACCCCTACGATCGTAGTGTGGTCCTTAATCGCTATCTTAACCGATTGTCACCTGGACTTTATCAACGAGATTTTCGCCAGCGTCAAGTGGGTGGTTAACTGGACGCTTCGCACTCTGTCGCTAATTATCTCTCCCGGTAACAAACTCTTATCATGGCCAGATCTAACATAAAACAGAGGTTTATTCCAAAACCAAACGATATCTCCGAAGGATAGTTAATGGTATATTCTTCCCTTCTTCTTTGGTGGCCTCCGCTGATGCTTTTCTCGGTCAGTACGTGACCTGATTAACATTATCTCCCAGCTTCTGTTTCGTAGGCCACTTGACCAATTTGAAATTTGAAATTTTCATTATTGTCATGGGCAGATGGCTATCTTTTATTCGCCGCCTCGTAGCATAAATTAATTCGACAGATCCGAGATCTTACGAATTTCCTATCTTCTACGAACAAAATACTTTTCTTCGCAAATGAAAATAAAATCTTTACCACTGTTCTTTGTTAAAAAAAATAACATCGCTCAGAATGTCTTTTCGTGATAGCTTCTTATCGCCTTAATTATTTCAGCTTCTTCTCGCCTTAATTATTTCAACTTCTTCTCGCCTTAATTATTTCTCGCTTTTAATTTTCACGCGACCGCTAAATAGTGTCACAGTTGCCTAGGGCGGGGGAGAAAAGTTGAATTCATACTTTTCCATAGATTTCTCGCTTCAAACCAGTATACCACCCATTCATCCAAGCATACAGCATGTAGCATTCCCAAGCGGTCACCCATCTAGATACTAACCAGGTCGGCGTTGCTTAATTTTGGTGATCGGACCAGAATCGGTGTTTTAACGTGGTGTATATATATATATATATATATATATATATATATATATGAAGAAATATAGAAGAAACGTGGCTATATTTATGGGATAATGTGCTCAATATCAGAGATAGAGGGTATGTAAATATAAATATAAAAGTGAACATTGAAGTCAACACTCAGAGGTGACAGGCTGTTTTTATGCTAGGCAATGAAACAGCCTGTCGCCTCTGAGTGTTGACTTCATTGTTCACTTTTAAATTTAAATTTATATATATATATGTGTGTGTGTGTGTGTGTGTGTGTGTGTGTGTGTGTGTGTGTGTGTGTGTATGTGCGTGTGTGTTTGTGTGCGTGCGTGTGGGTTTGTGCAGATAGATAGATAGATAGATAGATAGATAGATAGATAGATGTGCATGTATGCATAGATGTATGTAGAATCATTTGCAAGTGTTCGAATTGATGTCCATTCTAGAAATATTTGCTGGGATTCGCAGATCGCTTGAATTGGAAACATCATGAATCAGCGATTTTGATATTTAAAGTTTCTTTTAAAGTTTGATTTAGATTCCTTTACTGTCATTTTAGGCGGTGACCTTTAACCTTGAACGTTCACATAATAAAAATTCACTAATAGATGCATCAGGTTTTTGACCAATCTATCAGTTTAGCAGATTTTTATCAAGACCGGGTCTTACGTAAGCAACAATAAGAATGGTCTTCTTTGTAGGCTTGGACATATTTTAATGTGCCGTGTACCTTGGGTGATCATGGCTCTCTACACCTACCTGTCTCTTGAACGTGAAAGCAATATTTGACTCTTTCGTACTCCTCTTTGTCAACGCTCTGTATATGGGGAGAAGGCTTCGAAAAGAAAGAACGAACATAATAGAAGGAAAAGTGAAGAAGAAAGAGAAAATTACATATGGACAAAAAGAAAAGTGTAATAAGAGAAGGGAATAAAAAGAATAAACGAGAAATTAGTAAATGTACAAGTACGAAAAGAAAGAAAGAAAGAAAGAAAGAAAGAAAGAAAGAAAGAAAAATATATTTAAAAAGAAAGAATGAAAAACCAAAAAGAAACATAAAAGTTAAAGACCAAGAAAATAATAGTTCACAATACAAAAAAGAAAGAAAGGAAAAATTAAATGAAAGAACGTATAGTAAATGATGCGAAAAGAATGAAAGAAAAAGAGTACATGATGCACTAAATGGAAAGAAAGAAAGAACAAAAGAAAAAGAAAGAAAGAAAGAAAGAAAGAAGGGTAAATGGTGCACAGACGGAAAGAAAAAGAAAAAAGAATTAAGGAAAGAAAGAATAGCAAATGGTGCGCTTAAAAGAAAGAAGAATAAAAAGGAAGAAAAAGGAGTAAATGATGTGCTAAAAAGAAGAAAAGGAAAGAATAAATGAAAGATAGAATAGTAAATGAATCGCTAAAAGGAAAGAAAAAGAAAAAAGAAGGAAAGAAAGATTAGATGATACACTAAAAAAAATAAAAATAAAACGAAAACTATGAAGAAAGAAAATCATGTTTCGAGAATGTTTTTTTTCTATGCCGATGTAAACGCGTGTAGAAAAAATTGTGCGTATTTAAATATGTACGTACTCATGGCTAACCGTGTATTGTGTACAGAAAGAAAAGGGCAAAAAGTAAATATAAAATACAACGATCAAGGGTAAATTCTGCGATGAAGTCTGATGAGTGCATTTCATTAAAATTCCTGCTTAGTATATTTTTCCATTATGATTTATTAGTTTTCCATTTAGTTTGTTTCTCTCTTCGCTCCCCCCCTCTCTCTCTCTCTCTCTCTCTCTCTCTCTCTCTCTTGAAAAGAATGCTTGGATTTTATGAGTTTTTCAGTCAACTTTTACCTTTCCTCTCCTCGTTATGATTTTTATCCTTTTCCCTCCCTCGCCCTCTCTCTCTCTCTCTCTCTCTCTCTCTCTTTCGTCCTCGCTCCCTCACTCTTTAAGAAGAAAAAAGAATGCTTTTCACCGCTTTTAAATTTCCGTGTATCTAGCTTTACTTTCGCTTTCTCTCTCTACATTTCGTGATATTTTTTGTTTTCCATCTTCCTATCAACTTTCTTGTCTACAGTTTTGTTCCTCTTTCTTTAACAGTTTGTCATTCTTTTTATCACTTAAGCTTTTCTGATGCCCCCCCTCTCTCTTTCTCTCCCTTTCTCTCTATCTCTGTTTATCTGTTTGTTTTCAGTTTTTGTCATCTTGAAATGTCTTTTCTTTCTTTTTCTTTCTTTCTTTCTTTCTTTCTTTCCTTCTTTCTTTCCTTCTTTCTTTCTTTCTTTCCTTCTTTCTTTCTTTCTTTGCTTCTTTCTTTCCTTCTTTCTTTCCTTCTTTCTTTCTTTCCTTCTTTCTTTCTTTCTTTCTTTCTTTCCTTCTTTCTTTCCTTCTTTCTTTCTTTCTTTCTTTGCTTCTTTCTTTCCTTCTTTCTTTCTTTCCTTCTTTCTTTCTTTTTTTCTTTCCTTCTTTCTTTCCTTCTTTCTTTCTTTCTTTCTTTCTTTCTTCTATTAACAGAACTTACTTCCAGTACTTACCTTTTACCAACTATTCTTCATTATTCGCATCATTTCTCAAAGTATGAGTTTTCCACCCTCCCTTTCTTTCCTTCTTTCCTTCTTTATTATTATTCGTAAGTTCTATATTTCTCTCTCTCTCTCTCTCTCTCACACACACACACACACACACACACACACACTTTTCACTTGTTGGACTGTCTTCTCATTTCTTGCTTTCATCTCAACTACGATCTGTAAGAATTTAAATGCAATATCAATTGTCATCTTTTATCATTTTTAATCCTTTTCTTTTTAATGTCCTTTCTCCTGAATAATATTTTCTCTGTTTCTTTCACTCTCTGTACCTCCTTGCATCTTAGTGGCTTTATTGCCTTTATTGGGGTGAAATGATTAAAAAGGATTGTGCTTCTACATTACGATCTTATACATATATATATGTGTGTGTATATTTCACAGACACACACACACACAAAACTCTCTCACACACACACACACGCGCAATTGGAAAAAATCTTTCGTCTTCTGCCTTTTTCAAGGCAAAAATGAAATCAATTTTTTTTTTAAATTCGTATTTTGTAATTTAACTATAACAACAAAAACATTTCGATTTCATTTTTGCCGGTAGGCGAAATGCATCGGCAAAAAACGAAGATTTTTTTTCCAGTTGTCGTCTTATACTAATTTGTCTTGTATACAGAATTGATCTGGGAATTTAATTATATCGTCGACATGGAAAGAAAAAAAAACTCTTAGTATAAAAAAAATTTACATTAACCAGAAAGAGGCTTATGCAGAAGCGTCTCTCTTTTTTAAATTCGGATTTTATAATTTAACTATAACAACAAAAACATTTCGATTTAAGTTTTGCCTTGAAAAAGTCGTAAGACGAAACGCATTGGCAGAAATCTAAGATTTTTTCCAATTTTCATCTTATACTGTATATATATATATATATATATATATATATATATATATATATATATATATATAGTTGATTTGGTGTGAGTTTTTGACTCTGGGTTTCACACTATTTGCGAAAGATGTTCGCTACACAATCCAACATTGAATACAGCGATCAATTGCGTACGTATGTACGCAACGACACATGGATAGGCATATATGCCCAGTCCCACACTGCTCATATATGTTTGTGTTTGTGTGAGCTCCAGTGAGTGAGCGTACGTCAGTGAGTAAACGTGTGTGTATGTATGTTTGCGTACGTATGAGTGGAGTTCCGTCGACAATTTTTCCTCCCACTACCATAACAAAACACCGTTATACGCAACCATATGTAAATCCATTTTTTAAAAATTAATCAGTTTGTCTGACAATCGCAAATCGCGTGAAACCCAGGGTCACAACTCACACCAATCCAACTAAATATGTTAGCTCTACTACTGATATAATAAGTACCTCGCATATATAATATATAAATAATATATATAAAAATTGCATATATATATATATATTCATGTTTATATATATATATATATATATATATATATATATATATATATATATATATATATATATATATAATGCTAAGGAGCCAGGCAAACCTACCTAGGTTTCACCTAAACGGATCGTCAGGCTAATGCCGGCATTACCCTGACCATCCGTTTACGCCCTTTATGTAGTTGTGTTTTTACTCGTTTTGGGTGTTTTTTCTTTGGACTTAGAACTTGAACACTGAATGATTGTTTTCGCCTTGATTTAATGTTATTGGTTCTTTCTTTTTTTTATTTCCCATTTTTCCTCGGGTACCGATTTGTTCCACTGTAAGTTGAGTTATCTGAGGTTTTTCCAAGCGAGTACCACCATATTATTTATCGAATTATTTTATCTTATTTATCTAATGTTTATTTTGTTTCTTCCAACATTTCTCACATATAGGTATAACCCATTGTATAGAGTGATGCTTTATGAACTAATCTAGTTGAAGAGTGTGTCGTGTAGTTAATTCAATCCTCTTTTGAGTTATTGCCTCTGTCATATAGATACTTTTAAACGTAATAAATAAATGTATTGAGTAAAAATATAAATAAAATAAATGTATTGTGTAAATATATATATATATATATATGTGTGTGTGTGTGTATATATGAATCCGGATGCCAGGAAAAATCAACTAACCGATACATCTGACTCTTCTATTACAGAGCATGTAAAAAATAGCAGGAATTGTGTTTTTGATTTTAATGCGGACCGTTTCTCGATTTTATCTAGGTCCCACTCCTCATATCACCACAAGGTTCTAGAGTCCTTGTATATCAGATCCCGTGGGCCTTCCCTCTTTAAACAGAGGGAATCCTTACTGGGCCTGAATGTTATTGGACTCTAGCTTTCTTGAAATTCGTTTTTTTCTCTCCATTGGTTATCATTAATATTAATTAAATTTACACGCTTATATATTTTATATTCCCGAAAATAAACTTGAAAAGGCTGGGACGAAATCGGTTGTTCATTTTAGCTTTTAAAATGCCATATTAATTTTTGCTTATTCCTAGCTATATATATATATATATATATATATATATATATATATATATATATATATATATATATATATATATATATATATATAGATTAGTATGATAGAATGATACAAAGACACAAATATGAATTCCTGGGTGATTATCCACTTCTCTACACAACAATATCGGTAGATTAAACTAGATTGTTAACCATTACCTCACGGTTAGATACTCAAAAGCAAATGAAAACAACAATTTTCATTTTAATAAAGGCGTGTGACTAACTTGCAGTATTTGCTAGGATGTATCGTGTAATATCTAGAGCTTTAAGATTCAGAACCTGTGTGTATGTGTATGTACATATAAATGTGTTTGTGTTTATGTTTACGCGTGTGAATTTATTTGTGTGTTTGCCTCTGTGTGTGTGCGCGCGCGCGTGTGTGTGTGTGTTACGGATTGACCCTATTTCTTCTCGTGTGCGCAAAGCTTACATGTGTGCCTTGGCGCATGGATGTATGTAAAAATGTCAATGTGTGTATCGTTGTATGCGTGCGCCTCTCACGTAATTCTTACCCTCCCTTATCTCACGCCACCAACCACTCTCCACTTCCCAACGACCATTTAAAATTCATTTCCTCTCTAATGGCATCGAAGTCAAAATGAAAACTCCTGAATGAAATCTAATTACAACGACAATGATATAATAACGTCTCGAGTCGCAAGAAGGTTGTTGGTTCTCCGGCCCTCGTCCTCATATTCCACGGACTTCCCCTTCTCTTCGTCACGTGATTCTACGCCGGGAAACACCGATCATAATTCCATTGTCGATGCTTTTTCATATGGATTGCTTAGTTTTGTTGGGGGAAAAAAATTGAAGAGAAGGGTGTTGTCCATAATTCTTTCGACTGGAAAGAATCGATAAAATTACAATAGAAACCAAAACATATTCAGAGATTCATATTAGCGTTACAAATATTAATAAAAAAAGCCAGACATAAAGAGAATATTAAGAATAAAGATATGGAAAGAAGAATTCTGTCTGTGTGTCCCTCTTTCTCGCTCGCTAACACACACACTCTCTCTCTCTCTCTCTCTCTCTCTCTCTCTCTCTCTCTCTGTCTTTCTTTTACTCTCTCTTATTCTCTCTCTATATATACCACTTCTCTTCTGGACGTGGGCAATCATATCTCTCCACAACTATCTTTTTTATTGATTGGTTTTCTACGGCTTATCAACCCATTGCTGGTTATTTTAAATTGTAAAATATTTTTTGGAGTTAATAATCACTTAGTGATATGAGTTTTATTAATTAACCCATATCTAAGGAGGGGGAGAAACGGTGGATTTATATCTCCCCAAGTGTATTTGCACGTAAGTGGATATAAAAATTATAACTGAAATTGGAACTTGATTCTCCTATTAACAATTCTGAACCATTATCCATTACACCATCCGCGCATCCAAGCTTACAGAACCTGGTATTCCAAAGCGGTCACCCATTTATGTACCAGGCTCGACATTGCTTAACTTCGGTGGTCGTACTGGAACCAGTGTTTCAACTTGATATGGCCCTAGGACATTTTTTTGTTACTCTAAGTAATTCTTGCTTCTTTAAAACTCTTTGCAGTTAGGGGTCGACCGTAATCGGGATTATCGAGTCAATGCTAACGATCCTTTCCTTAGCTGTATAGTCTGTGCTTTGCCAGTGCTAAGTACAGTTCTGAATTCATAGTTTTACTTCTCTTAAACCAGCTACCACCCAAGGTTATAGAAACCAATCTGCCCTGCTATTTACCCATAGCTGGGAGGAGAAGTGATGGATTCACCCTTTTCGCATGTGATTGAACTCGAGTGGAATTTGAACTCGGCTCTCCGATTCTTCAATCCAAACCGCTATCCATTACTCCAACGATATCGGGCGTTTTTAACTTAGTAAAATTTTATCTGTAATTTTACCCTTTTTTTTGCATATAACTGATAGGTGATCACTCCCACAGTCAGCCCTTAGATATGTTTTAAATGAAACACTCGGCTCTCGGATTCTTCAATCCGAACCGCTATCCATTACTCCAACGATATCGGACTTTTTTAACTTAATTAAATTTTTAGCTGTAATTTTACCCTTTTTTGTGCATATAACTGATAGGTGATCACTCCCACAGTCAGCCCTTAGATATGTTTTAAATGAAACACTACACGTCTAAATCCTTTATTGAGTGATAAATAGTGTATATGTTTTTTTTTTACAAATATATACTCTGCTCGTTTCTTTCCAAGTTCACAATCCACTTCTGCTATCTAGTTAATCAAACTTGAAAGTTACTCGTTTTCTCTCTGCTTCTATTGTTTTCAATATGCCTTGTGAATGTTAAATTCTCTAGGCTACTTTCCTCATTATGTGTCTCTTTATAGTTTTTATCAATAGTTTCTTTCTAGTTTCTATTCTTATTTTTTTTTCTTTTGGTACAGTGTACATTGTGTAGAACGGCATCAGCGTCGCTTCCAAGATCTTTATTCTTCTATGGTGATATTGTCCAGAATTTGTATGTCATATAGGCGATGACACAATTATTGCCAATCTAGTACTGCGTTTAAATTCATAAAGGTACCACAATGGTAAGTCCATCAGAACAATTACCATGAAATGTAGAAAAGGCACAGAGAAGCTAAATTGCGGCTGTGGGAAAGTTACTGAAGCCGAGATGCCAGGTGACGATTAATAAAGTGTCGGATTCTTCTTTGGATTTTATCAAAAGTCTCTAAATGTATAGCAGGAGCACTCTACCATATGTAGCAGCAATATTCAAAGCATGGACGAATAGTAGACTCATAAATATGAAAAATAGATACTGGAGTGAAAGATTGTCGAGTACACGACACAGTGAACCAAATTTCTTATAATGTCAAAGGTTTTGGGATTCGTACACCCAAAATTTACGATCTTGCTGAAGTGTAGATTATCTTTAGTTTTCTTTCATTCAGGAAAGAAATTTGAAGATCTACGACATGAACTTTTAAATTTCATTCTTTTCATTCTGTTTCGTCATCTACTTGTATATTCTTTTTGTATAGTTATTTTGCAACCATGTTTTTGATGTTTCTTCATTAACCAGTCAATAATTATGTGAATGCCACCAGGTAACTTTTCCGTGTATTCAGTTTGTTTTCTTTCTTCCAGATTTCGACCCGGTGATCTCGCTATGTCTTCCTTCTCTTCTTTTTTCTTTCCTTTTTTTTTTTCTGGCCTTCATTGCTTCCTTCCTTCATTTCTTTCTTTTTTCATGGTCTTACCCTTTTTTCTTCTTTTTCCTTCATTGCCTTTCTTTTTTCTTTTCTTTCGTTTTCTTTCCTTTCATTCTTTTATTTTCCGACCTTTCTATCTTCCTTTTTCCTTAATTTTTTTACTTGGTTTTTCATTTCCTGTCTTTTTTCCTTCTTTTTCTTTCTTTTCTTCCTTCGTTTTAGTTTCTTTTTTTTTTTCCTTTTTTCTTTCCTTATTTGCCTCCTTTCTTTCATTTCATGCTTACGTTATCCCTTCTTCTATTCTTTCTTTTTTTATCCTTCTCTTTTTCTCTTCCAACTTCCTTTGTCTTCCTTCGTTCTCTTTCCGTTATTATTTCCATTTTTATTCCTTGATTCCTTCTTTTTCTTTCATTTCTTTTTGCCTGCTTTCTTTTTTTGCGTCTGTTTTCTTTTTTTTTAATCTATTTTTAGTTTTTCTTCATTTTTTCGTCTCTTTCTTTATTCTTTTTCTTTCCTTTTCATCTTTCTTTTCTTCTTTCTTTTTCTTTCCCCTTTCTTCCTTCATTATTTTTGTTTTTGATTTTGTATTTTAACGTTCCCTTCTTTGTTTCCTGAACCCTTTTCCTTCGACCTCTACCAGCTTACAATGACTGTATACACCTAAACCAGTCCTCTGTCCCGTTTAATCACTCCTATTTCAAAATGCAAGGCACCACACGGCGCTTAGACTTAAGGTTGCAGATCGAGCTGGACACATCGCAATGTCACATCGAAAGTAACCAAATCAAATTTCTTACGACCGCCGGCACCGACTTGTGATCCAAATTTCTAATTTCCCTCGTATAATAGAAATGGTCAGTGGCAGACAGGATCCTGAAAAGGGAGCGCTTCGTGTTAGCTTACCAGAATCGTCATACCCTCACCAAAACCCTCGCCTTGTCAGCCATAATTGCGAAAATACGTGCGCCGAAAACACTTTCCCGCCAAAGTTAGCGCACACAGTCAGCGGATTAAGTTTGGACATTTCGCGCTCGGATACAAATAATGGCGATCAAAAAGATAGCTTTTTCACATACACAAACACGCGCACATAACTATCAACATACATGCGTAACTTTTTAGTCAATTCTGATTTTTAAGATGGTAAATTCATTTTTCATGCCATTATAAATTAAACTCTCTAAAATAATTATCATCAGGATTATGGCCATATCATGTTGAAACGCCGGGTTTTCGTAGGATCCCCGAAGTTAAGCAACGTTGAGTCTGATCCGTACGTAGCTGAGTAACAGCTTAGGAATAACAGGAAATATTGGATGTTCGAGTAGTGTAATGGATAATGGCTTAGAATGAGACAAGTCAGGTTCGATACATTCGCTTACGCGCAAATACCAAGCGTGTCATATTCGCTCGGACCAACACACATTGACCCATTCCTCCGTATAAACCTGACGTCCAACAGTGAAAACAAGAAAAAGAAAACAATCTATCAGGTTTATCAACTATGCCCAGTATGACAGCGTAGTAGTGACATATTACTTGATTATTTGTATTAACATTGTCAATGATAGAGTTTAAGAGGGACACGCAAGGATATCCTCACATCGAAACACAAAAAAAGTGATATTCAGTTTAGTGTAATTTATTAAGGCTTAATGTGTTATCGGCAAGCCGAGTACATATTCCTAATCAGTCTGTTGTGTTCATTTTTGAATGAATGCTTTTGAAAAAGGCATGAATCTATTCCCCTTACCTACAGCTATGGGATATATGGCGTGGTAGACTCGGCTTTACCCTTAGGTAAGAAACAGTCAAGGAGAAAGGCTATCCTTAATAGAAAATCGTGACGAAGACATCGGTAAACCACTCCACGATCTTTCCCAAGAAGTCGCTGCAATTCGTCGATTATAAAGCAGGAGTTCTCAGCCAGGGAGTATCCCTCACACAGGGGAATTTCAGTGGGAACAGAGACAAATATATATATATATTATTTTTTTTTTTACAGAATTTGGAACCTTTCACGAGTGTAAAAAAATCTCCTCTATAAAAACAATCCATATAAATATATATCGGTTAATATGGAAAATAATAAAGAAGTTTCAATAATATATGCATATTTTGAGTTGGAAAATCTTCGAAAATGGTGCGGGAGGGATGACATCCTGACATATGTTGAAAAGGGTGTCAACCACTGTTATAAAGGAATCTGTAAGGAGTTATGATGAAGGACATCATCATCAGTTGTTATGGGTCCACCCCTTTTTCATACAAGTGGACTCGACCAGTGTGTACTTGTACTGCTGCCAGTGAATACCCGGGAGTCAGAAGGAGAGATACACTGATACAGTGAACAGTCAGAGAGTGACGGTGATACAGTGAGAGAGTGAAAGTCAAACTTCGATACTGAATTTCCCAGACTGTATATATATTATTATTGTTACATTTCTGGATCTACTAACCGTATTACCAATTGTATTATTACGTCAATACATTTATTTGCTATATTTCATTTCTGCGTTTGTCATTCATTTTGAGACCGGATTTCATCAGTATCATCATCATCATCATCATCATCATTATTATTATTATTATTTTTATTATTATTTAATATTATTATCATCATCATCATCATTATTATTATTATCATCATTATCATCAACATCCCTCTTTCGACTTGAACCTACATTGCTAATTAGTGTTTCTCATCTTCGGTAACTTTATAAATAATTCTTATCAGTCCTTTCCATAACTTCCTGTCCTCTGCTAACTCCCAAAAGTACTGCAAGTTTTCCAAGGTCTTCAAAGTTTGTTTCTTTTTACGGCTATGATGGAATTTTACTGATAGTTTTTTTTTTTTTTGTTTATTATTATTATTATTTTATGTCGTTCTTCATTTTGTATACTACGGTTGTTCTACTGCGAAAGTGTGTCGCATTAATCTGCTCCAAGTAAAATAGAACAAATTTATGAGATGATGTCTGTACACCTAGTCAGAGGATACGTTCAAATAGTTTCCAGGGGAATTGTATGTTGAAGCATAAGATTGCGTATGCGTTTTTTTACAATCCAAAATTGGAAATGATGTGGAGATATCCCTTGATGATTACATACTTTATGTTTTTTGTATGGAATGAATCCAGATTTTTTTCATCATTATTTTTCATACAATTGTATGTCAAAACTGGTTACACTATCGCGTTTTTCAGTTTCAATAGATGTTTTTCAATAACACTATCCCGATTAATCCACACCATCTTCAAATCGTTCATACTAGCGATTGAAGTTTTATGACATCAAATAAAAAAAAGCCTTCACCAGTTTTAAATAATATGGTTTTATATTAAGGCCTAAATCTTCTGCGTTAAATACACTAAAAATCATACAAAAAGAAAAAATACAACCAACATATGTGACATTTAAATTTTAATTTAATTTAAATTTTCCACCATTTTTCTCGTATTACTTTATGGTCTAATTATTCAATTATCAAAATAACTTCCCTGATTTCGTTCCACTTAAGATTCATTTAAGGTAAATTGAGCATTTAATTATGAGTAATTAATCTGGATCAGTTAATTCCGGAAGGTAATTTTTGGTATTTTTATTGACATTACACGGAACAGAAGAAATTATAATCTAAAAAGGAAATGTACAAGATCTCTCCATTCCAGATTCATAATCTTTTCTTACATCGCACTTGAAATTCGAGGGCGGTTCGACGGAAAAATCTTTTTTTCTGTTGCAATGTGTTGCTCTAAAGTACCATTTATTCTCCTCTATCTTTGCTTAATAAAAATATTCTCAAGGTTTCAGCAATTATTAATAAAAATGTCCCTTTGAATTCCGTCAAAACGCAGATAAGGTTTCCCCTGTAAATATAATATAGTGTTGTCATCTGAGATCTTTTAACGCACATTTCATTTCCAGTGACTGTCTTCAAAAATATCTTATTTTTGTGTCGAGTAAGAAGAAAAAGAAAAGGGATTAAACGCTGACCGATATTCCTTTCCGCAAATTTATGTGCAACCCATTTTTTTGTCTTTATATATTTTTCCCTATGTAATCGACATTCATTTATTTAATTTATTCCACAAGCAAGGAAAAAATTAATGTATTTCTATGACTTCACTCACGTTGAACAAAATTAATTTGTGTCGGTTTGATATAGTGCAATTAAAATACAGTCCTTAAATAAGACAAATAGGCTATTTTTTCCCGTCCTGGTAAAATAGGCATCAAGGCTATTTTGCTGGTCCTGTTAAAATAGACACCAAGGCTACTTTGCCAGTAAATATAGTGTTTTCGAATTTGGACAATGTTACCTTGCATCCAAAGTCAAAGAAAAATATTGTTATATGACTTCGCAAGAAAAAAAAAGACTTGCTAAATCTACTCCATTCATTCACACTACCCCAAACGAAAAGCAAGGAAGGAAACACCCAACAAGGACGAAAACAGTATTAACTGCTACTGAATTTCAAAAACCTATTTCCTGAAAAATTATCTCAACAGAAGAATTTCATAAATTTTAAACATAAAGAATATTTTATAAAATTGATATCCTTTACTTATTTTTATTTGTTATTTACGGTTTCTCGCCCTTTTTTTGGTTATTTTTAGATTGTAAGAATTTTTGGTGGGGTCGGTAAATAATGTTTTACTGATACAAGTCTGATTAATAAACGCATGTCTAGGGAATAAGGTGTGGATTCAATGTTTTTGGAGATAATAAAAATTTACTAATACAAAACCTATTACTTAACCCATAGCTGAGGGGTGAATAGCTGGATTCATACTTTTCCGTTTAAGTGAATATAACGAACCCAACTAGAATTAGAACTCGGCTCACCGATTTACAATTCCGAGATGTTATCCATTACACCACCCGCACGTCCAAGCTTACAACACTTGGTATTCTCAAGCGGTTAACTATCGAGATACTGACCTGTCTCGTCGTTGCTTCACTTCTGTGATCGTCCGTGAACCGATGTTTCAACATGAGAGTAAGGATTTTAGACTCTAGTTAATTTTCTGTTTAGTTTTCACTTCCAGCAACAAAGGGAGGGAACTGAAGAAATCAGTCATCCCTATAGCGACGTGAATATAAATAAGTTTATATCTTTAAATACTGTTTTGTTGGGTGAAGGTGAAGGTTTGGCCGAAAACTTTTCAGCGTCTCCCCGCTGATGTCCAGAACGCCATTGTTATTTCCCGTTTCCACTTAAGTGTCATAGAAATCGAAATTCTCAAAATAGAACGACGAGGAATTGTCACCACGTTGCCCTAACGAGTAATGTCACTTTCTCCGTGAAGAAATCGCTCGTTCGTTACTGGCTCAACCGGTAATTGTGACTGACATCAAGCGATGGGGTGAGAGATGAGCCTATTACACGCGGACACGTGAATCTGGGACGTGTGCCCGCCCACATATGTACCAGACACATACACAAGCTACAAGGCACATGTATAAACATAAAACACGTGTACACGCACAATATGCTTTTAATATGGGTGCACCTCCAAATTCTTCTTTTATGTGCCGTGTCTCTTCAGGGGATATGCGATCAGGGCTCTCCACAACATCCTGTCCTTTGTAGCTCTTAGAAGTGCTGTCTTTTCTGATATATCTCCTAATCTCTGTGGGCACCTCGACATAGTGTAATGGTTAGAAAGCTTGTCTTGCTAGATCAGTTACGACTGAGTAGTGAGTTCGATTCTCACTGGGTGCCCCATAATTTCGGCCTTGTGCCACATCTAAGCTGTGCTTAGAAAATCGTTGGGGCACCTCGATGTGGTGTAATGGTTACCAAGATTGTCTCTCTAGAACAATTACGATTGAGCAGTGAGTTGGATCCTCACTGGGTGCCCCCATACTTTCGGCCTTGTGCCACATCTAAGCTACGCTTGGAAAATCATTATCTCCTAATCTCTGTTCTGCTATTTACACAACCTCGTTAAGTAGGTTATTCGCTGCTTTTTCTCTGTCCTTCTTGCCTTCAATATGTCCTGGTTTACGTGCATATCACGTTGAAACACTGGTTCTCGTACGATCGCCAAAGTTAAGCATCGTCGAGTCTGCCAGTACCTAGATGGGTGACCGTTTGTGAATACCTGGTGCTTCGATGTGCGGTTGGTGTAATAGATAATGGCTCCGAATTGGAAATCGAAGAGCTGTGTTCCAATTCCAGTTGGGATCGGTATAGTCACTTACGTGCAAATACCATCGGAAATGGTATAGATCCACATCTCCTCCCTGTGTTAAATAATAGTTTATTATTTTTAAGAGGAATTGTATCTCAGTTGCGACTTCCGGCTGTTAACCTTCGAGGTCAGATGCAAGCCAAAATAAGAAATTCAATTTTGATTGGCTGAGCTAGCGTGGTTTTTCAGAGAGTTGTTTCTTGACAGTCAAGTAATGCAGACATGTTCTCTTTCGTGTCTGAAACGACTCCCTATTGAGAGGGAAGGATCTCCACTGGATATTTAGTACATGTCGACATTAATAAAAATAGATGTTAAAACTCTCAGTTTTGACGTCATTCGTTGCTGAACAAAAAATCCCTAGCGATTCCTTACCGAGAGAGACGAGAATGCAATACCTGCAGCTGGGAGTTAATTAGTAGGACTTGTATCAGTAAATCATTATTGTCTCCAAAAAAAACTTCTTACAATCTAAAAATAGAAATAAATTCCAAAAATTTTATAAGTCGTAAAAAAAACCCAAATAAATATACAATTCATCATGTCCTATGAGTGTTAAATTTTCCAAACCCTCGTTTCTCATTATGTGTTCTAGAAATTTCAACTTTTTATATCTAATTCTAAGTATAAGTGTCCTTTTTGTTTCCATTTTTTCGAAATATTCGTCATTGTTTACATGTTCAATCCGTGGTATCCTCAGCATCCTTCTGCAGAACCAGATTTCTACTGCCTCAAGTCTCTTCTTCATATGTGAGGGAATTATCCAACATTAACTGTTATCAGAGGATCGATTATATAAACAAAAAAAAAACGTTTTTTTTATTACAAATGGACACCAATCCCGCTAGACGTTTGAACTTCGAAAATGATTAATACTAATTTTTATAATGGTTAGCAATGCTCGATGGTTATCAGTGCGCCATTATTTCAGCCTTGTGCCAGACTAAGATATTACATCTTTAATAATATGCCTGATTTCAAAAGGCAAGTATTTGTTTAATCCCATAAAGGCTACTTTATTCGATTCTTCTTATACCTATTTCTATTTATTTTCAATGCGCATAAGACGTAGTTACAAGTCATTACCCTATAAAGCCGCTGTTATAATCATTGTTCAAATGGCGGAATTATTGGGTGTTATCTTTATTTTCGAATTGAAGAATTACATATAATCCAACTATGCGTTAGACCCCATCATGAAGAAAACCCCTTGGATTGGTAAGCGAAGCAGCAGGTGATCAAATCCATATATTTAAGCAAAACTTTCAGCTTAAGACTATAAAAATTACAAATTGAATGACTTTCTCGCCTGGTATCCTCAGTATCAGAGATAGTCAGTCATTTGAAATACAAAACGCTTCTAATTGTAAAGTCGATGTTGCAACACTGTCGGCGTGTAGCGGGTGTCGTGATTACCGTTTCAAAACTATTTTACAAGTGGACTCAGTTAATTTCTCTATTCGTTTACATGATGATTCACGGCGGTTTGTAGAATTGGACTACTTTACTGATAAATCCGTTCATTGGCTTTAAAAGATTTCCGGTTAATTATTTGAAAAATACTTAAAAACAAAATGTAAAGCAAGGAAATGTTTGCAAGGAAACTGCAACTGGTCTCAACGTGGTTCAGATGCTTATTTGCAGAGGGATTTTTTTTTATAGTTATGCCAATGACAATACTGATTTGATGAAAAGAAATACCTCTTTGAAAGCACTCAACCACCTGGAGTACATGAATTACAATCAAAAGGACGATTTCGATTTGAAGTCAATCAGTTAAGTGCCATTCATGACACACTGTTGGGCGATCATGTCTCTTTCGATTTATGACTGACTAGGCAGAAGATTTTCTCGCAATAGGTTGTTCCTTTCTGAAAGAGATTAGTTGCCAACCAAGGCTATATGATTCAGTTTGTCCTGCTGTTTAACCCATAGCTAGGTGAGGAAAAATGATAGATTCATATCTTTCCTGATGGTATGTAAAGTGAATATAATGAACCTGGCTGGAATTCGTCTTGAAGTCAAACTTCAAATCAATGTGATCTCACGTCAATTCCGAATGTGCCTGTCTGCTCATACCCAGTTGTGTTTACTCAACACCCACAGAGACAACCTAAAGTACAATTCAAGTATGTGGCCCACCACATGTGGTTTTGAATTCTGAGTTGTCATTCTCCTATACTGTTTACCAACCAAGGCTAGAAAGTCCAGTCTGCTCTACTATTTAAATCATAGCTGAGGGAAAGATGGATTTATACCTTTCTCGAAGGTATTTGGGTGAAAGGGAATATCGGGATCTCGAGTGGAATTCAAACTCGCCTGTTTCTCGTTACCAGCCTGTAACTATTTCATCAACTCCACTGTTTGCAATTCACAAAAAAAGAAAAACCAAGGACAAGAATTTTATAAGAAAATAGAATTTAAATGAAAAGAGTTCCACACGGATTTATATGGGGCAGTGTTTAAATACAGTAGAATCCCTGACAACCGGACTAAGAAGGCCTTCCGTATATGAGAAATTGGTTACAAAGTCTGGATATGAGGGGTTATATTTAGATTAAAATAAAAGAACTGAAATCAGGTTTAACATTTATTTTCAATGTTTTATAGTAAACAAAATAAGTGAGTGAAATACGACGGAATTGATTTTAAGGAAAAAAAGAAACAAATTTCGTAATTTAATAAAAATTCATTAAATTAAGTCTGCCACGTATGCAAAACAAATAATGTAACGAGGATTTTTTAATCGCTGTTGCATGATGATTCTTTCTCTTCTAATGTCATTCTCAACTTTTTCTGCATTTCGTTTTGCTTTTGTTCTTGAAATTTTTCAACGAAAGACACAATGCTGGCTTTCTTTCCATAAAACTGACAAACCTTTTCAATAGCGTTTTCAATTTCAGTCCAGATTTCATCACAAACATTTTTTTATTTCCTTGTTCACTGTGACAGTGTGAATAGTTTCTTTGGAAGATTTTATATCATACAATGTTGAACTCTACCCTTAGTTACAATAAATTTTCACCAGCGTCTAGTCTGTTTAAAATTTCCACTTTTGCGATAACTGCAAAGTTGTTTTTTTCCTCTTATTTCCATCACCTTTGGCGCCAATACAAGCCATGAGGGTGAAATAGCCATAAGCAATTATTCAAAGAAAATTTCCTGAAAAACAGAAATTTCAAATCAATTGCATATCACCCAAATAGTTCAAATATACACATCAAAATCATGTCCTGATATGCGGGATTCCGAATATGAGGAATTCCGAATATGAGGAATTCCGGATATGAGGAATTCCGGATATGAGAGATTCTACTGTATTTATCTTTCTCTTCGTGTAGAACATGGAAATAAATCATTTTTAGACAAAAGATTCACTGGAATTTTTTTTTTTTTAAATTGATTAAATACGAGAATTCGAAATAAACAAAAAGTATCGCTTGATGCAGGACAACAATAAAAAATTTTAAAGGCAAAGAAATCAAATTTGCAAATTTCTTAACATTTTGGCTTCAAAGGGAAGAATTTCTTATGAATTATTTTACGAAAAATCAAACACTTAAAAAGCATGAAAGGGGAGACAGAACTGCAATGACATGAATACTTAAGAAGTATCATGGACTCTCCCGTCGTTGATCGGCGCCATCTGTTGGCCCACGCCTATCGGGGATCCTTTTACGACGTATGAGGGACAGGCCACCCAGTTCCTAGGAACCAACATATGATTTGATTATAGAGTTGAAGTTTTTGTGCAGAACCAAACACACTTTTTGAAGACACGAATACAGAGACCTGGTTCACCGTGTTCCAAAAGGTCCTTAATCGCGGTTGTCCTTCTCCTAGAGCAGTTGCCATCCAAGGCTATTTTACCCATAACGAAGAAGAGGATTCATACCATATAAAGGCTATTATCACGTAAGTGAATGTAACGGATTCGACTGGAATTCGAACTCGACTCTCCGATTCCTTAATCCGATCACTCCACCGTGCCTTCCATGAATAAGTATAATATATATATATATATATATATATATATATATATATATGAAGAAATATAGTTTTAAGATTGCGTCTAGTATGAAACAGCCTGTCGCCTCTGAGCGTTGACTTCAATGTTCACTCTTTTATATATATATATATATATATATATATATATATATATATATATATATATAGCAACCTGCCGAGTGTGATTCCTCGAGAGTCCTTCTACGAAACTCTGGAGTTGTAATGCTGAAGGTAGCAACAATCAGCTAAGTGACAAACATAAACATATATATATATATATATATATATATATATATATATATATATATATATATATATATATATATATTAACCAATTCACCCAAGGAAGGCGATAAGGTTACTAAAGCACAATGGGCTACTGGGAGTGAGAGATAAGGAATTATACTTTAGAAGGAACTGAAAGTCAATCCTAAACAGGGACCAAGTGATGAGTCGCTACTTCCTTTCGAAAGAACAGGGAGGGGTATGAAGCGGATGATAATCGAAACTATCTAGTCCTGTTGTAGAGAAAATAAATAAAGGATGAGTAAATAAAATTTCAGAGTTTAGGCGGAGACGTTAGAAGTATTCACGTGAAATAGACTTAAGTAGGAACCGGAAACTCAATCTTTAACATAAAACAATGGATAAACCTCTACTTCTGTCAAAAGCCCGAGGAGGTGTGTGAACCGAACAATAGGCCGACCTCTCTACTCCTATTGCGAATATATATATATATATATATATATATATATATATATATATATATATATATATATATATATAGTGGACATAAATTATTATATAATACAAAAAGTAAAAAGAAGAAATGTGGGCTAAGATAGATAGATAGATAGATAGATAGATAGATAGATAAAAATGTCTTAAAATAATTGTCGGACTTTGTCTA